GCAAGTCCATCACAGGGCCACAGAGACAAATGAGACAAACAAACATTCACTCTCACACCTAGGGACAATTTAGAGTTACCAATCAGTCTAACATGCATGTTTTTGGTCTGTGGGAGGAAACCGGAGTACACAGAGAAAACCCACGCATGCACGGAGAGAACATACAAACTCCACCCTCTCAATCTACCCAGAGGGTTTACCACTAGGATTATGCTAAACCCCACTGCCGCCTCTCCTCTAAGGGGTATATTGAACCAATGTAGCACTTGAATATTACCCAGAGTAACCTTAGGTTAGTTTTGCTTAAGGCTGTGTTGAAGGTGACTCCTCCAGATTGTTAACGATCTTCATTTGCAAGTCACACCCTTATCTCACCCCATGATTCGCCCAACCTAGCAGCCGGGTTGAATCGTTGCCCATGGGAAAACTTGCATTCAAGGCCACCCACCTTCGGTTGTAGAACTGCAATTGTTACCAATCTGGTATTTTTTTAAGAATCTATGCATAAGATTCCAGGATGTTGTTTAATCGTAGCTGAGAAACCTTTAAAAACCTCCTCTTTTTGTTAGAATTGAACCAAGCCAAATCCATGAGTACGAAGTGTAGAAATGATAGTCCAGAGTTTTACATTTTATGCTTTGCTTTAATTAATGATTTGCAGGGGTACAGCGTTATCAGCACAAATTGTTACATTCAATTATTCAATAAGATTAATGATAAGGAGTCCATGCCTGGTCCCAGGAAATATCCTATTGGTCAGATGGGACGTACAGAATATGGGGAGTCTACCAAGGAAAGGCTCTCCTGGCTCCGATGAGCTGTGTTAGGAAATCTTGAATCCTAAAGCATAGGTGGTCCACTAAAGTGCAGCCTCCTCTTATTGGAATGGACTGTTACGCATTTGGAGCCCCAAAGCATATTAAATCCCCACAAACCCCTAAGACTGTCCCATGAGCCAAACAGATTTCTAACCAAACTGTTACAATCAACCTTGACAGCACACAATCTATGTGATAACTTTTCAAGAGGACTGGAAACAGGATAATACTCTCTTCATCTAATCTTTTTCTCTCAGTTATGGAAAAACACTGCTATTTTGTATCAAATTTAGCATTTGGACAATATATTAGGGGTCGCTCACCATTTCGGTCTGAAGACCTTTGCATAATGGCAAGAGAATTCTCTCCTCCAGAGCCCTGGAAAGAATCACCCTTAGCCCCCAAAAGCAGTCCTAATCTTGAGGGGTCTGGTCTGGCGTCAGCTCGGCTGAACAAGGGAGTATTCCTATCTTGATGAAAAAGAAGTCCCTTCTGAGTTGTCCAAATCGCTCTGAGTGGCTCCTGGAGCGATATCAAAATTGTCCTGTCTCGTCGACTCCACGGTCCATTCAGCACTTCCCTGTAGGTGTGTCTGGTTTTTATAGACGGATTACTGGTTAGAACCAGTTTTTCCATTGTACCATTCTCTGGTGTCATGCTCTGATTGGCCTCTGCACTTTAGGGCTGTGTGTTTCTCGGAACACGAGAAAAGCATTCTAATCCATGTCCATTTATGGTATCAAGAGTATCATCTTGTCTCACGGCCCCTCAGTTACTAGCACATGAGTTTTTTACAACACTTTTCTTTGTATTTGTTTTAATAATAACATTTACCTGTTTACTCAGATCCCTTGTTGGGTGTGTTTTAGTGATGTAAGAGGTTATTAAAAGTCAGAAAAACAGAAAAATTGTTTTGGAACGGACAGAAGATGTTTTTGAGACAGACGAGAGAAATGTTTAGGCGAGTTGGGGGAAAACAGGTGCCAGCTTCTCTATTTACGTCTGAGAGGATATAAAACATGACAGTTCGTTCCAACAACTTGTTTTCTTGCCTCCAACCTTGGACCAACTTACACTTGCTCATTTCAGACAGAAAATCAGAAAATGCATGAATTACTCCGTAACACATTCTAACTTGATTTCTACTTTGAATGAGGATTAAAAAAAATCACTAATACTGTTTCACAGTTGATTTAAAATGAGTAGTTCACTTCAACATTTAAAAATGGTTTGAACTAAACACACTTTGATTATCAAGACATTTGTAAGATAGTAATGATAATAGAAAAAGAGAGTGTTCTTTCAATTGATCAGTGCAGGACACTTAGAAAGTCTCTGGATGAACTTAATCTTGTGTTTCTGGACTCAAATCAATGAAATACAGTTCTTGTCCCAGGAAGGCCCTCAAGGTCAGGATTTGACCTGAGGCTTAGTTCACTACAGAGCGATCAACACAGAGGTGTCTCCCGCTCTTCCACCTTTGAGCGTTTTCTGCCGAGACAGGAGACGCAGAGGAGAAACACTGCAGGCTGCTGGAGAGTTGGAGGTAACCAGGAAAACCTGGAGTGGAGTTTTAGTGGTGTGAGTATTCTCCTATTAATCAAGTGGAATGGATTTGTTCACAAAGAAATAGATACAGCGCTGACTGTTTCATAGTAAATGTGGGGACGTCCAAATGAACGTTTTTTAAAATGTGCGTTCTGACATTGATCAATTTACAAATTAGGCCCTGCATATTATTCCATCTCAAACTGGTGCTAAATGATGATAACTCCAATGGGATGTTGTTTTCAAACAGCAAAATGGTGCCAGCAGTTCTTCCTCCTATCTCATCCATGTTCCTATTGCGTTTGTGGATTCTTACAAATACTTGGGAATTTTGGTTGACGCACATCATTCTTTTAAAACACATCGAAAACTTGATAAAGAAACCGAAATTCAAACTTTTTTTCCAGAAATAGATCTTGCTTAAATCTGATTGCCAGAAAAGGCCTTGTAACTGCTACCTTCCTATTGAAAGCCGTTGATTATGGTGACATTATTTACATGAATGCCCCCGCCAGCTGCTTGCAGATGTTGGATGCTGTCTACCATGATGCGCTAAGATTCATAACTGGTTGTTATTACCGTACCCATCACTGCATAATAATAATAATAATAATAATAATATATATATATAAGTTAAATCCGATTCTCTGGACATTCAAAAAGCAAAACAAAACAAAAAAAACTGTAGAAACGTTTCATCTTTCATCCAAAAGACTTCCTCAGTCTGAGGTGATGTATTCAGCTCAGTCTTATAAATAACACCTTCTCGTAGTGGATCAACCATTTTGCTGCTGACAGCAGTGACAGAAGGACCATCAGCCTAACGATGGATCATTAGCACACTGATGGCTGTTTGCTATTCACAAGGGGCTGAGTGATACTAGCAATCACAGCATTGTAAGAGGTGGACAGTTGAACCCAGAGGCCTCCACCCCTATTTAAAGATGGACGGTTTCTTTTCACAAAAATGGCCTCCTTTACTCTTCTCTCAAACCACCGTTCCTCTCTATCAAGGATGTGAACATCTTCATCCCTGAAAGAGTGACCGCTGGCCTGGAGATGAGTGTAGACCGCAGAGTCCTGGCCTGATGATGTTGATCTTCTTTGCTGGGCCATCCTTTTGGCCAGTGGCTGTTTAGTTTCCTTGATGTAAGACTGATCACCCTCCTGACACTGAACAACATACACAATAGTACTCTGTGCCGGGGGACTGGATCTTTGGGATGAACCAGTCTTTGCCATAATGCATTTTGGGGTTTAAAAGCCACTGGGACGTTGTGTTTAGAAAATAAACGTCTCCGTTTTTCTGATACTCCCGCAACATATGGAATGACCACTGGTCTGGGTTCCTCCTATTCACCTGATGGCTGATTGGAGTCCTGTTTGGGTTTCTTCTCTGCTTTCAGGAAGGCCCAGTTAGAACATCCACATTGCTCTAGAGCCTTTCTTGTGTGGGATTTCTCCTTCTGCCTGGCTCCTGAGTAAGTGGGGATGCTGTCTGCTCTGTGGTACAGAGTCCTGATGACTCCTAACTTGTGCTCCAAAGGGTGATGGGAGTCAAACTGCAAATACTGGTCTGAGTGGGTTTGTGGTACACCTCAATTTGCAAATGTCCTCTAACAGAAACTGAGACATCACAGTCCAAGAAAGCCAGCCTGCCATTTTTTACATCTTCTTGTGTGAACTTGATGTATTTATCCACAGAGTTGATGTGATCAGTAAAATGTTGGACTTCCTGAGATTTAATTTTAACCCAGGTGTCATCAACATACCTGAACCAATGACTTGTGTATGTCCCTGAAAAGAAGGTCAAGGCTCTCTTTTCTACCTCCCCCATGTACAGGTTAGCCACAATTGAAGAAACTGGAGACCCCATAGCACACCCATGTTTCTCCCTATAATATTGGCCCCCATATGTAAATTAGGTTTACTGTAGGCACAGTGACAAGAGTTGACACAGTTGTTCTGTGGAAAGCGTGGTCTTGCTGCTCAGAATGGTGTCTGATTTTAATCTTAAACTGACCACCATTTTTATTGGAAGCTTTGTGGTTTTAATGTTGATTCAACTTTTATGAGAATGTTTTATTCATGTTTTATTGAGTCTATTTTAACCTTTACCTTCATCTGTTGGTTTGGACTTTTGACATGTAAGAACAGGAGCAAACTCTCGGGGATTGTCAGGATGTGCAGCAAAACTGCTGGCATAGACCTACGGAACCTCGCTGACCTACACAAGGTGAGGTCAGTGAATAAGGCCAGGCAGATTCTGGCAGATCCTGATCATCCACTCCATGGTGAGTTCAGGTTGCTTCCATCTGGACGCAGGTTTCTGCAGCCCAGATGTAGAACAAACAGATTGAAAAACTCATTCATCCCCATAGCAATCAGGTTTCTCAATGAACACTAATTTCAATACTGTTACTTTAATGTCTTAATGTCTTGTGTATATATGTATGCGTATGTATATATGTGTATGTGTGTGTATATGTACACATCTACTGACTGTGAAACTAATTGCTCCTCAGGGATAATAAAGATACTTGAACTTGAACCACCTCTACTGCATCATCAACAGGAATGCACATAAAGAGTGATGTGACATCAAAAGAGACCATTGTTTCATCAGTCTCCATGATGACATCCCTCTCCTTATCCGCAAAGTCCATGGTGTTCTGTATGTGGTGTTCTGAGCTGCCAACTAAAGGGATGAGTACAAACGCCAGCTATTTGGAAACATTGTAAGTGACAGAGTTAATCATGCTGACAATTGGTCTTAAAGGTACACCTTGTTTGTGAATTTTAGGTAAACCATACAGACTAGGTGTGGCCTCCTCTGAGTAAAGTCTGTTCCTGGATCTCTTTTCAGCGGTCCAAAAGAAGAAAACTGAGTGAATTCAAATTCAGTTTATTTATATAGCGCCAAATCACAACAAAGTTGTCTCAGGGCACTTACAGGAACATTCACATACATAAAAGCCAATTAGTAAAGTTCTCTATCTAAGGAAAGAGTGAGATACGTAATAGTTCAGTTTACAATAAGACTTCTAAAGAAGCCACTAAAAAGATAGACATTTCCTTATCAGTCTCATACAGCAAATCAGAAATAAAATATATTGTAAAGGAAGAAATGAATAAGAAATGGCAGGAGGAATGGACCAAGGAGCAGAAAGGGAGACATTTTTATTCTATTGAAAAAAGTGTGGGTAGGATGAAGGAAACATGAAGGAGGAGGAGGGAAGAAGATATTTTATCATGACTTAGATTTGGTGATACATATTTAAATTCAAATCTAAAAAGAATAGGAAAACATCCTACAGGAGTTTGTGAATGTGGCCAATCACAAGAGACCGTAGACCACGTACTTATAGATTGTATAAAATATCATAGAGAAAGAGTTATTCTTCAAAATCGATTTCATGAGCAAAAAGTACAATTTAATTTAGTTGAGTTGCTTCGCTTAAATTCAAATCACATTTTAAATAGGGCTTTTTCATTTTCTTGTAAAATCAGAAGTTTTCAGGGGAATATAGGTTAGGGTTTAATTCTGGTTCACACTCCAATTCAGCAGGTGGCGGTAATGCACACTAACAAGCTCTTTGCCAACCGCCAAGAAAATCAAAGAAGAAGAAGAAGGGGAAAAAGAAGAAGAAGAAGAAGAAGTGTTTATGCGCCTTAGCTTCAGCTGCAATGGACCGTTTCTACTTTTATCGATTTATAAACTTTCTGTAACGTTTGCTGTTAATCCAGCTTCTTGAGTTCGGCCCAGTAACTGTTAAATGAAACTTTAGATCAACGACAGCTAGCAGATGTGGAGACATCAGGCTAAACAACGACTGGAAGCATCAGCGAAAGAAATGACGAAGTTTCTGAACAAGACGGGCCCAGATCATGAAGAGGAACTGTCGCGTTTAAAAGAAAAACTGCAACAAACCAAAATCCTGGATGCTGTTTGGAACCCCAGAGTTCTTCTACACAGATTAGGTTTGTATAAATACATTAATCTTCTTTAGTGTGAAGATGTTAGCTGCAGTTTTTGTAGCTAAATGACTTAGCATCTGTAGAGGATCATGTGCTGTCGCACTTTTACCGCTTTTATTTAAAACCATCCAGCCAGAACCGTGTTGACGGAACACTGTATTTTAGGATTGAACTGCAGGCTCCAACAGAGATGAGTGATGGTTGTTTCATCAGTCTGTACGTGTTTCACATTGAAGGGGTGTTCTGTTCGGCCACTATACATCGTCAGACCGCCATACGCGTAGCATAAACTGACGGCTGCATCTATCCGCTGTGAGATCTCCATATGCTTCTATTTAATTAGCCATATCATATACTTTGTTATTGTTGAAATCAGGTCTCTCTTGTAAATGAGTACTCGAGGCTCAATGGGATTAACCTGTCTAAATAAAGGTTGAATGAATATAACAGCTGTTATAATATAACAGCTGTATGACACCCTGAGTTAGCAGTTAACCTGTCACATCATTGTACACTGTTAATAACATTTTCATTTCATTTCATTAGCACACAAGTGTTATACAAAAAGTGTTTGGAAGAAGGCACCTCCAGGTGTTCTGTTGGTGTCCAGATAACCAACTTGCAGCTCCAGGCACGTCATTGTCTGCTGAACCTGTAAGAATAAATGTGTAATATGTTTTAATGAAGGTTTACTAATACCTGTCACATAATTTCATTTCATTTTTTTTTTTCCCATTTACCCCTTATTTACAGATACTCTCATTGAGTCACGAGAACTCATTTTCAAGAGAGACCTGTTTAGGGAGCAGATGGTGGGGGTTAAGGGCCTTGCTCAGGGGCCCAGAGTGGGGCAAATGAGGGTGGAGGCAGGTGTGGGTGTTTCACCTTTTCCACCCACATTTTGATGTTGACGGTACCGGGAGTTGAACCTGAGACTTTCTGATCACAGGCCCACCTTCTCTAACCTCTGCTCCACCACTCCCCCAATAATCCATATATTGTAAGTTACAACATTTACTCACCTGCAGGTAGAATCCACTTTGCACAATGGGAAGAATGAGATGCTTCCCATCTTCTAAACATCTGATGCCACAATTTGGCCGACAGAAACTGAAAATAAAATGAAGCTATTTAGAGGACATTAATCTCTAGGAGCTGCACTGAGTACAAAAATCCATCCAGGCTTGCTCCAAACTTTAAAACTGTAGGTGCACACTATCATTACAAATGCAATTAAAGTAATTAATAAAAATAAAACAATTATCAGCATTTATTCCACAGTATTGCAGCAGTGTGGCTGCATGACCTGCCTTGCTCTGCAGTGCATGAACAACCTGCTTGTATTACAGCTGATGTTGAAACTAACACCCAGACTCTGTGATGGAGGACTTTAAAGCTTTGGCTCTGTCTCTGCTTTAAGATCAATAAGATTGTGTCCCACCTCTTTCAGAGCTTTTCAGGAAAAATATGTTGCCTTTAAATGAGATATAACTTCCACAAGTTGTGACAAGGTGTCTTCAGCTGACCCTGAAGCTTGTGGTGTTTCAACCTCTGCTCCTGCAGGAATGATTCCACTTCTCTGACTGCTCTGTCTTTGATCACCTGCCTCTTTTCTTGGTCCATGCACTGTGGAACCGTGTCTCAATTTAACGTTTTTAAATGTACTTTCTAAATAAATTTGACATGATTCTCCCCAGCACTGCTCAAATGAGGAGGAGGAGGAGGATGGAAGGGGGAAGAGCCCCCCTCCTGTTGTCCCCCCACCCCATTCTGTGCAGAGCCCAAATGAGATATTGGTATTTAAACATTTACTGTACACAGAAAGATTTTTTAAAACTTTTATTTAAATATGTATCAGTCTTGACTGACTGCTTTAAAAATAAATCTGACGAATTCTCCACTGCTCGCTGAGCTCTCATGACGGAAAGGGGAGGATGGAAGACTCCTTCTGATGTTCTTCGTGTTCGGATGCGAGTTTAAAATGAGATCCCTGTATTTAAATGCATATTTACCAACACAGAAAGATGTCACACAGAAATAATTTTAAGACTTTTATTAAAACATGTACCTAGGCCTGTCGCAATAAATCAATAAACCGCATGATGAACGAAAATTATCTACCTCATTTTAATTTACCGGCTTTATCATTTCTTCGTGTCTCTCTCTTTTAACCAAAGACACGGCTCAACTCTGGTGCTCTTCACTGACCCCTTCCTTTCTCTTTTCTCTTTAAAATCTGTTCTAACGATCCAAAATTGTGTTTTTGGATAGTTAAAAGCAGCTAAGCTGAGAAGCTAAACTAACAGGCCGACCTTGGTAATAAACTTCCGACTTGTCGAGCTCCAAAATTCATGGTTGAAACCCGTGCATTTGTGTAAAAAGTAGTTTTTCTCTGCAAAAAGAAGCTGAGAACTTGTTTACTGATTTTTTTTTTTTTAATTAAAAGCTTTGTGTGAAAAATGCTATGCTAAAGAGCTCAAATCACCGAGCGTCTGCCATGTCATGTCAAGGGTCCTCCCTCCCAATTTTCTTAAAGAGACACGCTGCTCAACTATCCATCCTTTGGTTCAAACAGTCTTGTACTACCATCAGGTGGTCAAAAAAGGTACTACACTCCAAACAAATCATACAATTCTTCTAAAATTTGACAATTATTGTTAAATTTCAGACAGTATTATTGTTTATCGCAGTAATTTCTGAGATAATTAATCGCCTAGCAAAATTTGTTATCATGACAGGCCTACATGTACCAGACTTGACTGCTTTTGGTTCTCCAATCCGACCATCGACACACGTTGATGCAGCTTACGGGTTGCACCTGTTTCCTCCTCGACAACTGATTGCTTTTGACATGAAAGCTGCATCATAAGAAATTCTTCATGCGTTTTCCATTATCGCTGAACAAATGAACAGGTCTGTGCATGAAACGCAAAATCCGGTAACAACACAGGTTTGAGGCAATGCACCGCACACTTCTTCATCTCTTCTGAGGCGCCTGCTCTCAGACGAAGCAAATCCATCTTGTTGTCCAACGAGCGGACATTCGACAGAAAGAGAGACGGCATGGGGAGTTTACCGGCTTTAGCGTTAGCTCGTAGCCTCACCATAACCCCCGTCCGGCATCCTCTCCTCTTAAACCGGGAGCAGCGCTTCCTCTTCTGCCCGCTGGAACGCCTCTGCTGCAGCTTCCAGGTAGATGACTTTAAGATCTGCATTCTGCCGAGCATAGTTTTGAGTTTGTTGCTGATTTCTGCTATATTTCGTGGCAAATCCGCTCCTATTCTCATCAGTTCGGTTCGGCTATAGTTCACACGCATAAATCGTGCGGAGTCAGGCACAGAGTCAATATCAAAACTTCTAAAAACTGGGATGGTACCGGGAGCCTGTGAAGCTGCATCTGCTCTGAGCGCAGCCATCTTGAGTGAGATAGATAATTGTACCAATTGGCTTTTTTTATGTCTGTGAATGTTTTTGTACAATGACCTGAGACAACTTCTGTTGTTACTTGGTGCTATATAAATAAACTGAATTGAATTAAGTTCTGTTCAGTCTGAAGCTGGTTTATTATGGAGGCAAGTAAAAAGGTTTTTACAGTAGAGTAATGAATGTTTGTGGAAATACATTCTCCTAATATGATCATATTTTTGCATTTTCTCACAGCTCATAAAAAATCTGGAACAAGTTTAGAAGACTCTGCAACATGTTTAATTTGTTTCTTAAAGAACCGACTGAAAGCTCTACATGTTTTACCATCTTCTGGGAGTCAGCCATAAGGACCTCTCTTTTATGGATTTAGTTTCATGACATTTTTCTGACGTCCAGCATTAGATGTTGTTTTGAGCTGATCAGTGAACACCAGTGATGTTTGTGTGAATATAAAGTTATAACTGTCCTTATTGTTCATGTGTTTCAGTGTTCCATGCAGATGTTCAGCAGTCGGTGCTGTTTAAAAAAGAAGCTCCTGAAGAATGGAGTTCTGGTGTGGACCAGAAGGACCCAGAGACCCTCATAAAGGAGGAAGAGGAGCAACTGAGGATCAGTCTGGATGTAGAGCAGCTCAGTGTGAAGGAGGAGACTGATGAGACCAGGTTCTCCTTCACTGCAGTTCATTTGAAGAGTGAGGATGATGAAGAGAAACCTCTGTTCTCTCAGCTTCATCAGCAGCACCATGTAGAAGATGGAGATCTTCCAACCAGCAGCTCAGATGACCAGATGAAAGCAACAAATGGTGGAGAAGATTGTGGAGGATCAGAAATATCAAGGCTTCTGGAAAAATCAGCTGCAGATTATGAAGAGAAACATTTTTATTTAAAGGAAAAGGAGCAACAAAACCAAATCCTGGATGCTGTTTTCAGTCACAACGTTCATCACTACAAATTAGGTTTGTATATTTGGATCAACTGTGATGATGTTTGTAACATTTTAGTCACTGTTTTAATGAAGCTGACAAACTTCGTCTTTAAGAAGAACGTTTATAACCAACATTTGTATTTGTAACTTAGCTTGCTGACGGATAAAACAATGACATGGTTACAACGTGAAAACAGCAAATGTTGGTGCCCTTTGAATAAATGAACAGGTCATGTATCTGCTTTTCTTTATAAAAACACAACCATTAGAGAACATTTTAGGCCCCGGGGGTGGGATTTATTTTGTTTGTGTAACCTCTAGGTGTAAAACAACATTTTCAATCAATAGATTTTTATTTGCTTTAATCTCTGGTAGTACTTTGTACTGACAGTTACCTGAATCTCTGTGACCATGGTCATCTACCACTCTCAAACAGGTCCCTCAACATGAACAACTGACTTTCAGCTCAGCAAAGTTACTAAGCAGGAAATTGCGTACATCCTCTAGTGCAGTGGTTCCCAAACTTATTTGTGCCACGTGATTTTTCACATTGATTATTCTAGTTAGAGATTCGTGAGTCTAACAGCCTCAGGGTAGAAGCTGTTCCTCAGTCTAGTGGTTCTGCACTTAATGCTCCTCAACCTTCTGCCTGAGGGGAGCAGGGCAAAAATTGTGTGTGCTGGGTGTGTGGGGTCCTTCATGATGCAAGTGGCCCTCTTCCTGCATCTGGAGGTGTAGATTAGTAAGCACTTTGATAACAGTTACTATTTTAAATGTGCTATATAAATAAATGTGACTTGATTAGATGTCTGTGATGGTGGGGAGACTGACTCCAACAGACTTCTGTGCAGCCTTCACCACTCTCTGCAAAGCTTTTCTTTCTGCAGCTGTGCAGCCTCCATGCCACACATTAATGCTGGAGGACAGGATGCTCTCCGCTGCACACCTGTTGAAGGAGGTGAGGACTGAGCTTTCCAGTCAAGCTCACCCCAGCCGCCTGCGGAAGCAGAGTCTCTGATGTGCTTTCTTGATCAGGCTGGTGGTATTGTTGCTCCAGCTGAGGTTGTCATTCAAGTGCTCTCCCAAGTTCTTGTAGCTGGAGACCACTTCCACCGCAGATCCTTTTATGTTCGTGTGTGTGTGTGTGTGTGTGTGTGTGGGGGGGGGGGGGGGTTATTCCGTCTGAAGTCCACGACCATCTCCTTCATCTTATTCACATTGATGTGAAGGTTGTTCTTCTTGCACCAGCTCTCCAGGTGTTCCACCTCCTGCCTGTAGCTGGGCTCATCATTGTTTTTTGATGCGTCCAACCACTGCTTTATCGTCTGCAAACTTTACAATATGACAGCCTGGATGGGTCGGTATATAGTCATACGTTAGCAGAGTGAACAGGAGGGGGCTCAACACACAGCCCTGGGGATAGCCCGTGCTGAGGGTTATGGTAGAGGAGTTGAAAGTCATGGATCTTCACAGATTGTGGTCTGTTGATTAAGAAGTCTAGGACCCAGTTGCATAGAGAGGAACTTAGTCCTAGTGTGAGTAGTTTGTACTTCAGGGTATGGGGAATTATGGTGTTGAAGGCAGATGTGAAGTCCACAAAGAGCAGACGGACGTAGAAGTCCTTCTGCTCCAAGTGGGTGAGAGCAGTGTGGACCACAGAGGAGATGGCATCCTCTGTTGATCGGTTCTCCCAGTATGGGTACTGGTGAGGGTCCTCGTTGATGTTGAAGGTTGTTTTGATGTGGGTCATGACCAGTTTTTCAAAGCATTTATCAACTATCGGGGCGAGGACTACTGATAGTCATTCAGACCAGTCACTGTAGAGCTCTTTGGAACTGGGATAATGGTGGCAGTCTTCAGGCAGGTGGGAACTCTTTTTTTTTTCGGCGCCGCGCAAGCAGGCAGCTCGTCTCAGCAGCTTGGCAACAATGGAACTGATTTTTTTCTTGAAAACTTTGTTTTTATTTTCTTTTTTTATGGTTTCTATTTTTGGAGAAGGTGTGAGTGACCACGCTCCTATTGTTTACTCTCGGGACCAGCTGCTTTCCATCCGCAGCTCCGCTGTGCCTCCTCCTGCAGAGCGACCTGATATCCCCTGGGAGCTGAGAAGGAAGAGACGTGGGAGACGTGCGGGCATAGGGCAGAAAGTACAGACCTGTCATCCCATCCATGATTATGGGAAATGTGAGATCTCTTCACAACAAAGTGGATGAGCTGGCGGCTCTAACGCGACATCAAAGGAGCTACCGGGAGATCAGCCTCATCTGCTTGACGGAGACATGGCTGACTGAGTTAACCCCGGACTCACATATTAACATGGACGGCTTTCATTTACTTTGTGCGGACAGAACCAGAGGGAGTGGTAAGGAGAGAGGAGGAGGTGTGGCTGTATTTGTGAATGATAGATGGTGTAATGCTGGACATTTAACCATCAAACAGACGCTCTGCAGTAAGGACATTAAACTTCTAGCAGTTGGTATGAGACCACACTATATTCTGCGGGAGTTTTCACACGTTATTGTAATAACGGTGTATGTCCCGCCCTCTGCTAATGCTGCTGCAGCCTGCGACATCATTCACACCACCACCAGCAGACTCCAAACACAGCACCCACAGGCCCTCTTTCTGATCTCTGGGGACTTTAATCATGTTTCCCTGTCCTCCACTCTGCCTACCTTCACCCAATATGTCACCTGCCACACCAGAAATACCAACACACTGGATCTACTTTTTGCAAATACCAAGGAGGCATACAGTTCATCACCTCTGCCTCCCCTGGGGGGCTCAGATCACAATCTGGTTCATCTGCAGCCTGTGTATAAACCCCTGGTGCGCAGAGAACCAGCTGTGATGCGCACAGTGAAGCCCCCAGTATACTGCTGCGTACATCCATACGCAGAGGTACACACGTACGTACGCAGAGGTACGAGTGTACCTCCCAGGGCACATCCGTGCAAAGCTCAAATTTTTACGAACGCGTACGCGGTGTCGCACAATGAACTGCCCAGCGACGGACTGTTTTGTATGTGACATCAATGTATTAAATTCCCCTTCTTCATCCCTGATCTGGCCTTTTATTTTGTTGTTTTTTGCCAAGAGGCAGTGATCTCTTCCTCCTCCCACAGGGAACTGTGCTGGCACCGTTCCTCTTCACCCTCTACACTGCAGACTTCACCATCAACTCCCCACACTGCCATCTGCAAAAGTTCACTGATGACTCTGCCATAGTCGGCCTCATCACAGCTGAGGATGACTCAGAGTACAGACAGCGGACTCAAGACTTTGTGGACTGGTGCCAGCAGAACCACCTCCTGATCAACGCTGCTAAAACTAAGGAGCTGGTGGTGGATTTCCGCAGGCACAGACCCACCTCACTGACCCCGGTGAACATCCAGGGAGCGGACATCGAGATCGTGGACTCTTACAAGTACCTGGGTGTTCACCTGAACAATAAACTGGACTGGTCTCACAACACTGATGCACTTTACAGGAAGGGTCAGAGCAGACTCTACCTGCTGAGGAGACTGAGGTCTTTTGGAGTGCAGGGGGTGCTCCTGAAGACCTTCTTTGACTCTGTAGTAGCATCAGCCATCTTCTATGGTGTTGTGTGTTGGAGCAGCAGCTTATCATCAGCTGAGAAGAAAAAGCTAGATAAGTTCATCAAGAAGGCCAGCTCGGTGCTTGGATGCCCCCTCGACCCAGTGCAGGTGGTGGGAGACAGGAGGACTCTAGCTAAAATAACATCATTGCTGGACAACGTCTCCCACCCCATGCATGAAGCTGTTGCTGAACTGGAGAGCTTGTTCAGTGACAGATTACTGCATCCTAAATGCACAAAGGAGCGTTACCGCAGGTCCTTCCTCCCAGCAGCTGTTAGACTCTACAACCATCACTGCTCCCAACAAACTCAATAAAGATTAAATACATGCTGACCTCTGCTAAAATACACACTCTGCCTATAATAATGCATTGTAAATAGTCTGCCATTCTCAATGTTCCAATACATACTGAACATTATTATTGATATTGTTTATCTTATTTCTTATACATTGTATTGTTTATTAACATTTAGGAACTTTTGTGTGAAATCTTTTTTATTTTTTTTATCTGTTGCTGCTGTTGCTGCTGTTACACTTGAATTTCTCATCCATGGGACAATAAAGGCTGTTTCCATTCTATTCTAACTGTTGCCAGGGTGAGAGAAGAGTTAAATACGTTGGCCAGTACCTCGCAGAGTTGATCGGCACAGTCTTTCAGCACTTTCCCCAGGATGTTTTTTGGGCCAGTTGCCTTGTGAGAATTGATCCTCCTGAAAGTACTCCTTACTTCTGCTGAGGTCACGCCGAGGAACTCTTCTTGTGATAAGGTGAATCTCGTTCTTGGTGATCTGTTAGGGTCCTTGAAGCATGCATAGAATCTGTTGAGAGCATCAGGCAGTGATGGATCCCTTGGGCATTGTGCACCTCTGCCTTTAAAATTTGTTATGCACTTAATGCCCTTCCACATGTTCTGTGTGTTTTGTGAGAAGAAGTGTCCCTTGATCTTGTGTGCATATGCTGCTTTGGCCCTTTTAATACCAGCTTCCAGCTCTAACCTGGTCTTCCTCAGCTCCTGTGAATTGCCAGACCTGAAGGCAGTGTCCCTGGTTCTCAGCAGGGTGCATACTTCTGCATTCAGCCAAGGCTTTTGGTTCTGATAGCTTTTTACATTCCTGAAGGTGGTGACATCATCAGTACACTTATGCCCCTTTTGCACTGCCCCTAATAAGCCCCAATTCTGGGCAGCCCGCCACAGAAAAAACCCTTTTGCACCAGCCCTTTAGCTAGTATATTTAGCTGATTTGAGGCTGATTCAGGACCTCTTTTCGTCCCTGCTTCTCTGGTGGGACCGAGCGAGCTCAGTCGAGCTGAGTCCGGACCAAACGTGAATGCAGGACTCCGATTGGTCAGGGGGAGGAGTCACTGGATCTCAGAAACTTTTCACTGAGCCGCCATTTGCAATTTCTCTGGATGCGGAGCAGCAGCTGGATGTATTTTTAAGATTTTAAAAACAATAATGACAATGCCGTGTTTAATTCTGAAGTCCAGGTGTATTTTGTGTTTGGTCACAAACTATAAAATTCGAACAAGCGGTGTCACCGCGGAGGATCATACGAGCTGCCGAGCCGTTGAAGCCCGCGAGGCCGAACCCCGAGCCTGAAGATTAAAAATAAATAAACGGTGCCAGCTTTATTGTGAAATCCTGTTTTCCCTTTGACTTTATTAAATAATCTGTTTGTTAAAGTTAATTCAACTGAAAAATTATAAAAAGACTAAATTATTGGATCTCTCAGGAATATTTCCCTCAAACATGTTTAAAGAAGAGACACAGCCTTTGGTTCAACATTATTCTAACCCACAGATGTACAAATCACAAAACAAGCATTACACTTTAAATTAAAGCTTTAAATCAAAGCTAAACTTTAATTCAAAGCTAAAAATAATCTGTATACAAGAAAAAATAATCTGTATACAAGAAACAAAACCACAATGAGTGCAAATACATCAAATGATGAAGAAAAATATAGAATTTTAAATATAGATATCCTGATGCATGCTCAATAATCCAGGTAGAAAAATCTAAAACAGTTAAGTCTGATCCTCTGGACGTTCAAAAACAAACAAACAAAAAAAAATGTAGAAATGTTTCTTCTTTCATCCGAAAGACTTCTTCAGTCTGAGGAGCTGTATTCAGCTCAGTCTTATATAAATTGCTATGAGCTGAATACAGCTCCTCAGACTGAAGAAGTCTTTTGGATGAAAGAAGAAACATTTCTACATTTTTTTTTTGTTTTGTTTTGTTTTTTGAACGTCCAGAGGACCAGACTTAACTTTTTTAGATTTTTAATATAAATGTTTTTGTAGAATCTGGTTCATCAGGGGGCAGCACGGTGGCGCAACTGGTAGAGCTGCTGCCTCTTAGCGAGCATGTCCTTGGTTCAAACCCCAATCCAGGGGCCTTTCTGGGTGGAGTTTGCATGTTCTCTCCGTGCATGCGTGGGTTTTCTCCGGGTGCTCCGGTTTCCTCACACAGACCAAAAACATGCATGTTAGGCTGATTGGTAACTCTAAATTATCCCTAGGCGTGAGTGAGAGAGTGAATGGTTGTTTGTCTCGTTTGTCTCTATGTGTCCCTGTGATGGACTTGCGACTCGTCCAGGGTGTACCCCGCCCCTCGCACAGTGATTGCTGGACATGGGCAACAGCGACCCCCATGACCCAACATGGAACAAGCGGGTAAAGATAATGGATGGATGGATGGTTCATCAGGTTTAATTCAGTTCAGTTTATTTATACAGCACCAAGTCACAACAGAAGTCGTGTCAGGGCACTGAACAGAAATATTTATATATAAAATAAGTTAACAGAAACATTCATATATAAAAATAATAATTTAATATTATTTATCTGAGGAGCAGACTGCTTTGAGTAACTCATCACAGAACTCTCATTAGCGGGACTTGGACACGCCTCTAGAATTGGTACTAAAGTGCAGGTGCAAATACAGGCTGAGCTGAGCCAGGCTGAGTAGGGGTGTGCAGAGTTGGGGCTGATTAGGAGCAGTGCAAAAGGGCTGTTTACACGGCACTTTTGAGTGCATCCGCAGCTTTCTCTCTGCGGTTCTGCTGTTCATTTACACGACACCAGTGGCCCCCCTCTTGGAATCCGGAGGTTTTGAACCCACCTTCCAGAGTGGTTTTTTGCTGACCCCCCGCTGATAATGTAAACCTCTCCCGTTGAGGCTTTGTGTTAAACCACATGCACGCGCGGACAGACGCTATATTTCTATGAACATGGCGGCAGACAGTGCTTTCAGAACTACGACTGATGGAATATATTTTTAATCTCGTAGTTAATCTATGTCAGATTCTAGGTGCTGTGACCGACATCTGTGTTGGAAGAGACACAGTCTGATCCAGTTCTAATGTTGCTGTTTATAGAACGTGGCACGCGCACATGTCGCGCTGCACTATAACATACTAAATGTGCTAAATAATAAGTATAATAATCATAAACAGTATTTATGTTAGTGTGCGAGATATGATTAAGCTCTGAGCTAAATGAAGCTATCTGGACATTATGTAATTCAAATTTAAAATGATGCTAAACATATAGCGTGAACACGAAAGTTGAAAATGAAGACATCAGGCTTAATTTTTATTTATTTATTCAACACCACAAACTGTATGTCACACAAACACTGATAATTAAACTGAATACACTATTAAAAATGTTAACTGCAAACTACATTAATTAACTGGACTCTCCTCTGTTTTCATTCTTGATGTCCAACATTGTCCATCTGGCTTGTTCAGTAAGTCACTCCTTTGATTAATGCAGCTTAAAACATTGAATGGATTGAATAAAAGAACTGAGGGGAATTTTAAATAAATAGTTCATCCAACATCGCTCTCTCTTCGACGTCCTCCTTCAGTGCACCTGGGCCGAGCCTCGTTCAGAACCGGTTCGCCTGGTGGAAGGACAGCTTCTTCTTCTTTCGGGGAAAATAAAAACTCACTTGGTTGTTTTGTAACTGAAGTAAACACAAACTAACATTATTAAGAACATTTGATTTACCTGCAGTATTGAGCTACTGATTATCATGGAATAAAGTCCGACATCGTCTGCTCGGTTCTGGTCCACTCAGCGACTGGTGTGGAGCTGTTAGACGAAGCGGTCCCGCTTGGCGTCAGATCTGTTGACTCTTGTTTTGTTTTGTTTTTTGTTTTTGGTTGTCAGTAGCAAAACTGGTTGATCCACTCTGAGAAGGTGCTATTTAAGAGACTGAGCTGAATACAGCACCTCAGAATGAGGAATTCTTTCGGATGAAAGACGAAATGTTTCTACTTTTTTTTTTTTTATTCGTTTGTTTTGCTTTGTTTTGTTTATTGAATGTCCAGAGGACCAGATTTAACATTTTTGAATTTTATGTACCTTAAAGTTGGCAAATCATGGTGTGAACTTGGTATTTAGTGTTTTTTTTTTTACCAAAATGAACAACAATCAAAACCTCAGTCTGTCTCCTGTTTTCTGTTTGTTTGTTTTTTGTTTGTTTGGTTCTCTTGAGTATTTATCTTAAATTTCAACACAAAACTATTAAAGAATAACAAGATATGGATGAGGACACAGGTTGAAAAGCTGGACTCGCTACTGCACTTGCTGTTCCAGTTTATCCTGGGATTTTCTAGTTTTATTTGTTTGCATGCCGTTCACCTGCTGGTGTTTATTTTACATCAATCAACCTTTATTTAGACAGGTAAATCCCATTGAGCCTCGAGGACTCATTTACAAGAGAGACCTGATTTCAACAAAGAAAGATGACAACAATGGACAACAGCAACAACAATAAACAATTATAAAAAGTCATACTACAGTTTTTTTTTTTTTTTTTTTTTCAAATAGGATGGCTAAAAGGAAAAGGTAACAAAAAACAAAAAAAACAGCTAGATTCTAAGGCGAATGTAGAAAACTAAAAACAGGAACATGTGAATATGGCTTGAAATATGGAATATTTACATGAAATATGGCTGGTCTTTACCTTAACATGTCTGCTCGATTTGTGTTTATCATCTTCTGAAAGCCAGTCAGGATGTCTGTCTCACTGAATTTGTTTCATGAGGTTTTTCTGCCGTCCATCATTAGATGTTGTTTTGAGTTGATAGTTGAAGTCAACATGTGATGTTTGGGTGAATATAAAGTTACAACTGTCCTTAATGTTTGTGTTTCAGTGTTCCCTGCATATGTTAAGCAGATGATGCTGATTGTAGCAGAAGCTTCTGAAGAATGGAGGTCTGATGTGGACCAGAAGGACCCAGAGCTCCTCCATATGAAAGATCGTCCAACCAGAAGCTCAGCTGACCAGATGAATGCAGTAAATGTTGGAGAGGACTGTGGAGGAGCAGGAACTACCAGGAACCCAGTTCTAAATACTCATGGAGATGATTCCAACTCTTCAGAGACTGCTGACAATGAGAATGATGATGAAGATGTGAATGATCCTGATTCTCAGCTGAAAGACTCATCAGACTCTGGATCAGAACCTGAAGACCATGACAAAGACTGGAAGGAGGGCAGGACTCCTGAGTCAGGTGTAAACACTGTCAACAAATCTTGCAGCTTCTCTGAGTGTAAGAAACAATTTTTCCACAAGGAATCTGATCAGGAAAACATGACAGATCATTCAAGAATAAAGTCCTCAAGTTGTTTGGTCAGTATGAAATGTTTTAGAGTGAAGAAACCTGGAGGCTCAAACAAAAAAATCCAGTCAAGACAGAAACTATTTAGTTGTCACGACTGTGGAAAAAGATTTAACGGAAAAGAAAATCTAAATCGACACATGAGAATTCACACAGGACAGAAACCATTTGCTTGTGATGTTTGTGGACAAAGGTTTGGACAAAAGTCACAATTAAACATACACATGATGATCCACACAGGACAGAAACCATTTGCTTGTGATCTCTGTGGACACAAGTTTAGACAAAAGTCAATTTTAAACCAACACATGAGAATCCACACAGGACAGAAACCATTTGCATGTGATGTTTGTGGACAAAAGTTTAAAATGAAGCCAGCTTTAAACCAACACATGAGAATCCATACAGGACAGAAACCATTTTTTTGTGATGTTTGTGGACACAACTTTAGAGAAAGGTCAAATTTTAAATGTCACATGAGAATCCACACAGGACAGAAACCATTTGCATGTGCTGTTTGTGGACACAAGTTTAGAGACAAGTCCAATTTAAACAAACACATGAGAATCCACACAGGACAGAAACCATTTGCTTGTGGTGTTTGTGGACAAAGGTTTGGACGGATGTCGCATTTAAACAGACACATGAAAATCCACACAGGACAGAAACCATTTGCTTGTAATGTTTGTGGACAAAAATTCAGACTAATGTCACATTTAAAAGTTCACAGGAAAGTCCACACATAAAGAATAAACAGTTTAGCTGTAAATATTGTGACAGCTCCTAAAGACACTTAAGTGTTCTGACCCATTTTAGACTGACCAACTTCATTTTTTGTTGTTAAATAGTAAGTGTGTTATGGAAAATTCTTTTACATAATTAATTACTTTTTACTTGCAGTAATACATGTGTTTTTGCATGCTCTACTCGTTAGTGCATGGATTTTCTCTTGGTCTTTGGGTTTCCTCAACAGACTAAAAAACATTTATGTTATATAAATTGGAAACATTTTTTTTTCTAGGCGTGAATGAAAAGGTGAATAGGTGGTTGTCCCTACTTTCTTTTTTTTTCCATGTGGCCCTGTGATGCATTTGCGACCTTTTCGGGGTCTTTTTTGCTCATTGCACAGTGCACAGGCTGGGGATCAGTATCAGCTTCCCAGCAAACCTGCACAGAAAAGTGGGTTAAGAAAGTGATGCCTGTTTCTATTAGAGGTGTAATGGTGCATTTATTTGTACCTGACTACCAGTTCATGCATCTAGGTAGATGTTAACTGCATTTTGCTAACTGCTGGGATAAAAAAAAGTAGAAGAATGTACCATGTACACCAGTGTTTACCATCAACATACTTTTATTTTGTGATACTTTAAAATCAGACTGAGTCCCATTCATCCTGTGAAGCGGCCTCATCTCCTAAACATTCCTTCGTTTCTTTAGCTTTCCACAACTCCTCGAAATTTGGACAGTGTCATAAAAAAAGACTATTTTTGTTTACTAACTTTAACCTGCCAAAATGAACTCATTAATATGAAAGACCTTTTCCTGAACCCTTCAACTAATCATAGTTATCAATGTTCATACATCATTGATTATAATTTTGCAATAAAATTACAAAATCTCACAACTGAATCTATGCTCATTTTAGTATCTATGTTTATATAAAGGGATTGTTGAGGAAAATTAACACAACAACTCAGACTTTTCAGCCTATTCACCTGTTCCTCTCATTGGTTCGGAGATACATGGAGAAAAGACAATAATCAGTCAGAGAGATTCAAGTTAAAAAGTATTACCAACATTTATTAAAGCTTTCAGCTGAAAGGAGACGCTCTTACCCCAAACCAACAGAGACACAGAAAAAACCCAAGACACGTCTGACCGGAGCTTTCAGGTTCCTCTGTATTTAAACACAAAGGTTCCACACAGAGACACACAGAATGGTAGGACCAGGTATAGGTCCAGGTGTATCTGAAAGACAAAAAACACATGTTAAGGATAGAAAAAATAATGACAAATACAAAACAGGTTGAGCAGAGTAAGTAAAGACAGTAGCAGAGTGAAAAGTGTGGTCAGTTTGTCCTCCAGTAGTGTAAGCCTATAGCAGCATAACTAAGGGACAGCTCAGGAAAACCAAGCCGACCCTAACTATAGGATTTAGCAAAAAGGAAAGTCTTAAGCCCAGTTTTAAAACTGGATAATGTGTTAGCCTCACGGACAGAAACTGGAAGTTGGTTCCACAAGAGAGGAGCCTGATAACTGAAGGATCTGCCTCCAATTCTGTTTTGGAAACTCTAGGAACCACAAGTAAACCTGCAGTCTGAGAGTAAAGTGCTCTGTTAGGAAAATATGGACTAATAAGATCTGTAATATAAGATGGAGCAATGTTGTTGTTTTTGAATGCATCATGGCTCTTCTGACGCACCGTTCTGTGTAAAGTTCGCTGCTGCGTGCAGTAAAGTCTTTTTTTCTCCCAACACGGATATAGTTTTGTTTTTTGAGCATCTGTTGTTGGTTTCCTGGTTTGCTGCTGTTGGTAGATGACAGAAGGTAAGCCTATTGATGTTATATCATTTAGTCTGGATGTTAACATCATCCATCCATCCATCCATTATCTTTACCCGTTTATTCCATTTTGGGTCACGGGGGTCGCTGGTGCCCAGTCACTGTGCGAGGGGCGGGGTACACCATGGATAGGTCGCAAGTCCATCACAGGGCCACATAGAGACAAACGAGACAAACAACCATTCACTCTCTCACTCACACCTAGGGACAATTTAGAGTTACCAATCAGCCTAACATGCATGTTTTTGGTCTGTGGGAGGAAACCGGAGTACCCGGAGAAAACCCACGCATGCACGGAGAGAACATGCAAACTCCACCCAGAGGGCCCCTGGACCGGGGTTTGAACCAGGGACCTGCTCGCTGAGAGGCAGCAGCTCTACCAGTTGCGCCACCGTGCTGCCCATGTTAACATCATGTTAATGTATATTTTAGTCATGCAGAAATTAAGTTGCATGTAGTGTACTGTTAAAGTTAATAAGCAAGTCATGCTCTCCATGTGCCTCGATATGTTTGTTTACTTTATGTATATGTGTATATGTATAATATACTTTATATTGCTTTATGTTGCTTGCCGGATGATCGAGCCTACAACTCTTTTTATATTGGTTGGTTGGTTGGTTGGTATGGTATGGTATATTGATTTATTATTTTTATTAGTCCTTTGCCACCTTAGTTGTCACTATATGTTTGTCTTGCCTATAGTAATAAGTTAATTAATAGTTTTTTGTATTGTTATTTCAGACACACAATACATAAATCAACTTGCCACTCTAAACTAGTTAATTTCCTGGAGAACACTAAACCTCTGCTTTTTAATTATTACACACATCAAAGTTCATGTTCAATAATCCAGGTAAAGTAATCCAACAATGTTCAGTCAGGTCATCTGGTCAGTTCCTTTTTTTTTTATGTCCGCCAAAATGCTACGTAATCTGTGACATTTTCACTAGTCAAAATAATTATTCTAGATATCTTCAATATCATTCTGACTAGTCAAAATGTTAATTCTAAATATCTTAAATAGAAAAACCGTCTGCATGAAAAAATATTCAATATATCTTGAATTTATTTGGAGATATCTTAAAAGGAATTTTGACTAGTCATAAGTACAGTTGTAGATATCTAAGTTAGTTTTGCCTAATCATTATTTGCTATCATTATATCTGCCATTTAATTTGTGCTAGTCAAATCCTTGCCGTACTATATGTGGTATCTAAAAATACATTTGGTATATTGAATAATGATGTAATTTAAGATATCTTTAATTGTAATTATGACTAGTCAGAACTAAAAGTGAGATATCTTGAAAGCAAATAATTCAAAAAACGTTCAATACAAAAACAACTGGACTTTATTTGTAACAGAAGACGTTTCGCTCCTCATCCGAGGAGCTTTCTCAATTCAATGAGCAGTGAGTGAGGGGTTCAGGTTACAATGCTGAGTGAGATAAGATACACAAACATATCCTGATGCATGCTCAATAATCCAGGTAGAAAAATCTAAAAAAGTTCAATCTGGTCCTCAGGACATTCAAAAAAACTAAAAAACAAAGCAAAAAAATGTAGATACGTTTCGTCTTTCATCCGAAATTCATCACATTTCATTCCTTTCGGATGAAAGACGAAACGTATCTACATTTTTTTTGCTTTGTTTTGTTTTTTTGAATGTCCAGAGGACCAGATTGAACTTTTTTTTTTAGATACAAATACATATGTAGATTTCACAATTCACACCTCAACACCTTAACAGTAGGGGTTGAGAAAGCTCCTCAGATGAGGAGCGAAACGTCATCTGTTACAAATAAAGTCCAGTTGTTTTTGTATTGAACGTTTTTTGAATTCATCATGTCCTGGATGACTGAGAATCTTCACCAGCATAAAGCAAATAATAACTTAACTTAAGAGATATAACTGTATTTTTGGCTAGTCAAAATTAATTTATCTATCTTGATTCATTAATTAATTAATTTATCTTGATTAATTTATCTTGAGCCTCCATACAACTTAATGGTAAATCTGATGTCATTTATACTAGTCACAATGTAATTAGAGATATCTCAAATAAATATTTTGTCTATTCAAAATGTAATTAAAGATATCTTAAATAACTAATGTAAGTGTGGTGAATCCGATTTTATGTTGAAATGGCTTGCCATACCCGTGTAGACAATATCAAATCAGTGACAACCAGTGGTCTCGTAGATTCGAACGTCATTGGTCACGTGACTCAGACCAAGCGAATCAAGTTCCGACTCAGCACTTTGGCGTCACTGTTGCTTTTTTATAATGAGCTTTAGCTCTAAATGGACCGTCTCTACATTTTTATCGTTTTATAAAGTTTCTGTAACGTTTACAGTAAATCCACCTTCTTGAGTTCGGCTCAGTAACTGTTAAAGGAAACTTTAGATCAACAAAAGCTAACAGATGTGAAGGCATCAGGCTAAACAACGACTGGAAGCTGCAGTGGAAATGTCGGGAGTTTCTGGACAAAACGGGTCCAGATTATGAAGAGGAACGGTCTCGTTTAAAAGAAAAAATGCAACAAAACAAAACCCTGGATGCTGTTTTGAATCCCAGAGGTCATGTGCACAGATCAGGTTTGTATAAATACATTAATCTTATTTAACGTGATGATGTTGGCTGCAGTTTTTTGTAGCTAAGTGACTTAGCATCTGTGGACCGTGTGGATCATGATGAGCTGTCGCACTTTCGCCGCACCGTTTTTAATCTTTTATATTTTTTTCATCCAAACAAAAACTTGTTGACGGATCCAGAAAAGCTGTTATCAAGGTGCAATTGACTTTAGAGTTACTGAACAAAATTTTAGATATGTTGTTAGATACTTATCTAGACTGGTCCTGGCAAGGGCGTCAAAGCATCCGTAATGTGGGGGGACACGTGGGTAGGTGTGTGCGTGCGGGCGTACAAAAGGTTTACACTAGTGTACAAAAAAGCAGCATTTCACCTAGATTTCCTTTGATTCCACACATTTAAAGCATGTTTCTCAGACTTGAATGTAATTTACAAAAATATTGTAAAGTTATTAGAAAATCCCAACATTAATTCTAAATCAGTTCAGAGAGGCTAATCTGATGTAATCTGATCATATTTCTTGGTTCTTGTTAGAATCTTTGACCTTTCACATCTCCATCAGTCTGGAGCTGGTTTCTTATGGAGACAAGTAAAAAGGCTCTTAAAGTAATGAATGTTTGTGGAAATACATTCTCCTAATATGATCGTATTTTTGCATTTTCTCACAGCTCATAAAACATCTGGAACAAGTTTAATTTGTTCCTTAAAGAACCGACTGAAAGCTCTACATGTTTTACCATCTTCTGGGAGTCAGCCATAAGAACCTCTCTCTTTTATGGATTTAGTTTCAGGACATTTTTCTGACGTCCAGCATTAGATGTTGTTTTGAGCTGATCAGTGAACTCAGTGATAACACCAGTGATGTTTGTGTGAATATAAAGTTATAAATGTCCTTATTGTTCATGTGTTTCAGTGTTCCCTGCAGATGTTCAGCACACGGTGCTGATTAAAGAAGAAGCTCCTGAAGAATGGAGTTGTGGTGTGGACCAGAAGGACCCAGAAACCCTCAACATAAAGGAGGAAGAGGAGGAACTGAGGAGCAGTCTGGATGTGGAGCAGCTCAGTGTGAAGGAGGAGACTGATGACACCAGGTTCTCCTTCACTGCAGTTCATTTGAAGAGTGAGGATGATGAAGAGAAATCTCTGTTCTCTCAGCTTCATCAGCACCAAGTGGAAGATGGAGATCTTCCAACCAGCAGCTCAGCTGACCAGATGAAAGCAGCAACTGGTGGAGAAGATTGTGGAGGATCAGAAATATCAAGGCTTCTGGAAAAATCAGCTGCAGATTATGAAGAGAAACATTCTTATTTAAAGGAAAAGGAGCAACAAAACCAAATCCTGGATGCTGTTTTCAGTCACAAAGTTCATCACTACAAATTAGGTTTGTATATTTGAATCAACTGTGATGGTGTTTGTAACATTTTAGTCAGTTTTAATGAAGCTGACAAACTTAGTCTTTAAGAATAAATTGTATAACCAACATTTGTGTTTGTAACTTAGCTTGCTGACGGATAAAACAATGACATGGTTAAACGTGAAAACAGCAAATGTTGGTGCTCTTTGAATAAATGAACAGGTCATGCATCTGCTTTTCTTCATAAAAACAACAATTAGAGAACATTTTAGGTGGTGGGATTTATTTTGTTTGAGTAACCTCTAGGTGTAAAGCAACATTTTCATTCATTTGTTTTTTATTTGCTTTAATCCCTGGTAGCACTTTGTAATGACAGTTACCTGAATCTCTGGGACCATGGTCATCTACCACTCTCAAACAAGTCCTCCAACATGAACAACTTTGATTTTCAGCTCAACAATGCTGCTAAGCAGGAAATATTGTACATCCTCTAGTGCACATATGTTAAACTCAATGTTGGATAAGAAATGCCCTTGCTTTATCTTACTTACTCAAAATGAGCCACATTCGGTGACAGGAGATGATTTTTAACTAGTATATTTACTTGCAAGGTCAGATTTTCACAACGGGTTACACAGTTATACAGAAAGTATACACATGAAGACCAGTCAGGAGAATCTGTCACGGGAAGTTTGTGAAACTTGTTTTTAATCACAGATTCGGAGGTGACCTTGAAGCAACAGCTGCATGCCTGCAGCCTCAAATCATCTCACCCAGCTCTCCCTGCTAACTCTAACATACCATTCATTGGCATTTAACGTTCTTAGCTAAAGTAATCAAAATCATCCATAAACTTTGACCAAAAGATCCCTAACACTCAAGGCTTGCGGACCAAATCTGGCCCTTGCTAACCTCTTCTCTGGCCCCTCATGATATTTAAAATGTAAATTACTTTTATTGCTTCTCATTTTGCCTAAAAAAACTTATAAATACTTCATTTTGTGCAGAGTTCTTGTGATACACACAAATCAACAAATTACTACACCACCAGATTTTTACATGAGAATTTAGAAACAGCTCTAGGCTGTCTAGGTCTAGGCTGTTACTATATATTATCTAATGACATTCATGCCCATGGTTGGTGTATTTAAACATCTGATCAGAGCTGTGAGTGTGCTGCCAAATGCAGAAAATGATTGAGCAGCATGTGGAGCAGAAACGATGTGTTGCTGATGAAACATTAAATCTGGGCAGAGTCCAGAGTTATAGTTTGTATCACAGTTCTGAAAAATGATTGAGTCTTTTCAGCATCAAAAGATTATTATAAATTGAAATGGAATTTTATGTACTTTTAAAGTTGGCAAATCATGGTTTGAACTTGGTATTTAGTCTGTTTTGTTTTAGTTTATATTTTTTTTACCAAAATGAGCAACAATCAAAAGCTCAAACTGTCTCCTGTTTTCAGTTTGTTTTAGTTTGTTTCTCTTGAGTATTTATCTTAAATTTCAGCATAAAACTATTAAAGAATAACAATTGGACAAGAAAAACTCTCTTTCTCTACACACATACACACAGAGCGAGCAAGCGAGCGCCCCTCCTGGACAAAAATTCACCAGCCGCCACTGAGTTTCACACACGCTTACTAACGAGTAGGTGGCACAGCTGAATGGACTGTACTTGTATAGCACCATTCAATCTTATCAAGTCTATAACTGTCCTTAATGTTTGCGTTTTATTTTTCCTTCAGACATTCAGCGGATGATGCTGATTGTATCAGCAGCTTCTGAAGAATGGAGATCTGATGTGGATCAGAATAACTCTGAGCCCCTCCATATGAAGCTTCCTCAGTACCAAGTGGAAGATGAAGATCTTCCAACCAGCAGCTCAACTGACCAGATGGATGCAGCAACTGTTGGAGAGGACTGTGGAGGAGCAGGAACTACCAGGAACACAGATCTAAATACTCATGAAGATGATTCAAGCTTATCAGAGACTGAAGTCAGTGAGGATGATGATGAAGATACAAATGGTCCTTATTCTCAGCTGAAAGACTCATCAGACTCTGGATCAGAACCTGAAGACTGTGACAAAGACTGGACGGAGAGCAGGACTCCTGAGTCAGGTGTAAACACTGTCAACAAATCTTGCAGCTTCTCTGAGTGTGAGAAACAAATTTTCCACAAGGAGTCTGTTCAGAAAAACAAGACAGGTCATTCAAGAACAAAGTCCTTAAGTTGTTTGGTTAGTAAGAAATGTTTTAGAGGGAAGAAAACTGGAGGCTCAAACAAAACAATTCAGTCAAGACGGAAATCATTTATTTGTGATGACTGTGGAAAAAGATTTAACAGAAAAGATAGTCTAAACAGACACCTGAGAATTCACACAGGACAGAAACCATTTTCTTGTGATGTTTGTGGACAAAGGTTTGGACAAAAGACGCATTTAAACTCGCACATGAGAATCCACACTGGGCAGAAACCATTTGTTTGTGATCTTTGTGGACACAAGTTTAGAGAAAAGTCAAATTTAAACAAACACATGAGAATCCACACAGGACAGAAACCATTTGCTTGTATTGTTTGTGGACACAGGTTCGGACTAAAGTCACATTTAAACACACACATGAGAATCCACACAGGACAGAAACCATTTGTTTGTAATGATTGTGGACAAATGTTTGGACAAATATCAAATTTAAAAGGACACATAAGACTCCACACAGGACAGAAACCATTTGCTTGTGATGTATGTGGACAAAAGTTTCGAGAGAAGTCATCTTTAAACAAACACATGAACATCCACACTGGACAGAAACCATTTGATTGTGATGTTTGTGGACATAAATTTGGACACAAGTCAAATTTAAACAAACACATGAGAATCCACACAGGACAGAAACCTTTTGCTTGCAATGTTTGTGGACAAAAGTTTAGAGAAAAGTCGCATTTAAACACGCACATCAGAATCCACACAGGACAGAAACCATTTGCTTGTGATGTTTGTGAACAAACGTTCAGACAAGTGTCAAATTTAAACAAACACAGGAAAGTCCACACATGAAGAAAAAACAGTTTAGCTGTAAATATTGTGACAGCTCCTAACAACACGTAGGTGTACCCACACATTTGAAATTGACCAACTTCAGTGTTTGTTATTGTACGTGTGGTGTGGAAAATTGTTTTCCATAATTGAAGTATTTTTCACTGACAATAATACATGTGTACTTGCAAGCTCTATAGTGAGTACATGGTTTTTCTCTTGGTCCTTGGGTTTCCTCCAACAGACTAAAAACATGTTAGGTAAATTGATCACTTTTTTTATACCTAGGTGTGAGTAAAAATGTGAATGGGTAGTTGTCCGTTATTTTTTTCTCATGTGGCCCTGTGATGCATTTGCAACCTGTCCAGTGTCTTCCTCACTTTTTGCACAGTGCACAAGCTGGAGATTAGCTCCAGCTTCCCCCTGCATAGAAAAGCGGTTAAAGTACATGGATGGATGTTTCTATTAGAGATATATTGGTACATGTATTTGTACCTAACTGTCTCAGTTCATGCAACTGGGGCAGGTGTATTTAGCTGCATTTTGTTGAGTTCTGTGTTTAAAAAAAATACAAGTAGAAGAATGTCTCATTTAAAGCGCTCCATAGCAAAGCATGGAAAATGTATTTAGAGGAAATGGAAGAGCTTTACGACCTGTCTGTTTTTTTTTTAAATCAGCTGTGTGGAAAAGCTTTGCTATAATAATTATCACAATATGTGAAGTGTAGCATGAAGATGCACTCCCCTGACTATGACCTCTGACCCTGAGATTGTCTATCAGATTCACCCTGAACTGTTTTCTTTAGTTACTTGTGACTTGAATAATGTCTGTTTTCACACATTGACTGTCATTGGACTCAGAATCAGCTATAGTCTGACTAATGTTTACTCTTTTAGTCTTTTAAGAAAAAACATTCATAAATTAAGCCTGTTTTATTTGATTGGGATATGTGTGACCATGAATAATATTTATTATTTGCAATCATTATGAAATCTTAGGGAAATGTTTTAATGTGTTTTTGTCAATATGTTTTTCAGTGTGTTTTTTCAATATAAAACTGTTTTTTTTTTCGATAAATAATGTTAAATTTATATTTTTATATATGAATGTTTCTGTTAACTTATTTTTTTATATATGAACATTTATGTCCAGTGCCCTGACATGACTTCTGTTGTGACTTGGCGCTATATAAATAAACTGAATTGATTGAATTAAATGTTTTTACAATAGTTTCTCTGTTCTGTTCTTCAAAAAAGAATCTCTCTTTAACAAAGAGACACCTGTGTAGGTGTTTTTGAGCTGGAATCTATTTATGTCAGTGGGGAATCGTAACATCTCAAAGGTCCCCAAAACATTTCAGAGAGCTGAGAGTTCAAACAAAGTTTCTTTGTGTGGCTCTTTCAGTTCGTCTGTTTTCTGCATCCTGATGTGTTCATCTGATGTTCATCATGTTTATTCCTGAGCAAAGGATACAAGTTAGCTCAGTAACAATTTTTGTTAGAAGAAAAGTAGAGTTACATTAACTACTGAAGATTAAACACTATCTTTCTCACTGCAAGACATTTGATTTAAAGTGTGTCAGCTGAAGGTTGCTAATCGCCTGCAGACATCAACTTCCTCCTCACCGATCCCTGAAGCAATCACAGTGACTTTTGGCAATCTTGGGCAGTACCTGACTAGACCAATCTCTTTGTGATGTATCCTGGTCTGATCACCCAGCAAAACATTTCTCAACCCATCCTGATGCATGCTCAATAATCCAGGTGGAGAAATCTAAAAAAGTTAAATCTGGTCCTATGGACGCAATGTCCCAGTGGCTTTTAAACCCCAAAATACATTACGGCAAAGACTGGTTCATCCCAAAGAGCCAGTTCCCCGGCACAAACAGAGTAATGTTGTGTATGCTGTTCAGTGTCAGGAGGGTGATCAGTTTTACATTGGGGAAAATAAACAGCCACTGGCCAAAAGGATGGACCAGCACAGAAGAGCAACATCATCAGGCCAGGACTCTGCGGTCTACACTCATCTCCAGGCCAGCGGTCACTCTTTCAGGGATGAAGATGTTCACATCCTGGATAGAGAGAAACGATGGTTTGAGAGAGGAGTAAAGGAGGCCATCTTTGTGAAAAGAAATCGTCCATCATTAAACAGGGGTGGAGGCCGCCGGGTTCAACTGTCCCCCTCTTACAATGCTGTGATTGCTAGTATCACTCAACCCCCTGTGAATAGTAAACAGCCATCAGTGTGCTAATGATCCATCGTTAGGCTGATGGTCCTTCTTGAGCATGTGATCAGCTGGTTTTGGTTGTCAGCAGCAAACTGGTTGATCCACTCTGAGAAGGTGCTATTTATAAGACTGAGCTGAATACAGCACCTCAGACTGAGGAAGTCTTTCGGATGAGAGATGAAACGTTTCTAAATTTTTTGTTGTTTTGCTTTGTTTTGTTTTTTGAATGTCCAGAGGACCAGGTTTAACTTTTTTAGATTTATCAACCCAATTCCAAAGGGAACTATCAAATAGTTAAACTTTGTCTAAATTTGTGTGCATATAAAAGTCTAATTTTTTTCATTTACTCTCTATTTATACAGGTAGTCTCATTGAGCCATGAGAACTCATTTTCAAGAGAGACCTGTTTAGGGAGCAGATGGTGGGGGTTAAGGGCCTTGCTCAGGGGCCCAGAGTGAGGTAAATGAGGGTGGAGGCAGGTGTGGGTGTTTCACTTTTTCCACCCACATTTTGATGTTGACTGTACCGGGAGGTGAACCTGCGACTTTTCAAGCACAGGCCCATCTTCTTTAACCTCTGCTCCACCACTCCCCCATGATTGAAAATGATTCCAGCTCAAATAATTTTGCTTTGGAATAAATAATTAATCAATGACTTATTAAATATTGTTTAGATTGTTCATTATTGTTTTAGTAATTACTACTTTTCAAACTAGTTATTCTCCAAATTCCTTTATCATTTGTGTTGTTCAGTTGTGTAAATTATTGTTGATTATTCTTATTTTGGTTAATTATTTTTTAATAAAATTTAAAAGACAAATTCAGTTTTTTCCTCATTCAGTACATTATTGTCTTAAGAATTCCCTGTAACTATGGAATCCGCTTCTCCTGTTGAGTGATAATTCATGGGTTAATGTAGTCGTTGAATATCCATAAAGTGTATTAACCTGGTATTTGTCTGTAAAATGACTTGGTGCTAGTGCCTTGGTTTAATGAGTGCAAAACAAGGAAACAAGTGTAGTTGAGGCACAAGTGTCACCCTTTTTCCTCCATTCACTCAAATACAGAAGTCCCACGTTTATCGCGGAGGATCCGTACCCTGAAGACCTGCAATAAGTGAAAAACTGCGAAGTAGGAATAGTAGTACAAGTAGTAAGTAGTAGTTTATTTT